GATCTCCCTCCTCACTTCCGCCCTCCTTCCAGGTCTGGGTGGCACTGAACGTGGAGCCTCTTCTTGAAGCGCGGGCAGCACGAAAGACAGAAAGGGGTTTCTCCCCAGCCACAGCAGCATCTGACCGACTCCTCACATCCCCCCACCACAGGAGACCAGGCCAGGCCCTGGCCTTGCTGACGTCAGGGCAATGAACCTCAGGCCACCAGGTGTCTGTCAGACCTGCCTCATTTGTTTCTGTCCCCTTTGAATTCTCCCTTCCACATGCAGCTGGGGCTTGGCTGAGGACCTAATTCTAAGGCTGCCAAGGTCGCTCTGTATCTTGGCCTCTGCACCCAGAAGGCAAAAGGGCCCTTGCAGTAAGATGCTCCTGGGACCTGCAGTCATGGGCTTTCCAACCCAGATGCCTGCGGAGCCTGAAGAGGGGCTTCAGAGGCCATGGCAGTGCGGACCTCCGGCTCTGGCCTGGCTGTGAGGAGCCTCCCTGGGGTTTGGTGCTGTGTGGTGGGACGTGCTGAGGCCCAGACACCGCCCTTAAATGGCAGCAGCTCAGGCATTCCTTACGCGCATGAGCCCCATGGAGGCTTGTAGACAGCCCACCGCCAACCCCGCTTCACACTCCAGAGCGTGGCTTTGGAAAGAGAATAATAATCAGCACTTCAGGGCAAGACACAACCATAGAAAGAAAAATGGAAGCATCATTCATTAACTAACGCAGTTACTGCTAGACAAGGGACAGCCGAGTAACCACGCTGAGTCCCAGAGGCGAATGTGGTGAGTTACCGACCACGGAGTGGAAATAAAATCATCGTGTGTTTTCTGTTTGTTTTACTTCTAAAGTAAGATCTCCTCTGATAACACTTCAAGTCATTTTAGGTACAGAAGCTGAAGAGACTCCTTAACTTCTGCCACTTTCATAACCAGTCTGTCCCCCTGAATGACTATTCCACTCGGCATTCCCTGAGGACCTCTCCGGGGAGTCTGCGTAATTGTTCTAAAAATGTGAGGTGGAAACCGAAATATGTTAGAACAACAACTGAAAAAACTTGGACATGCTGGGAGCCAGTGCCTGAGCAGAGGCTCTGGGGTGGCCTGCAGGCGGTTCCCAAGGGCACTGTTGTCACCAAGGACTTCTCCGGGAAGGCTATGGCTAGGGAGCAGCTCGGTTCCCGTACTAAACGCTGGGGACAAGGTGGCGGTAGGTGGGCTCACTTTCTTCGGTTTTGGGTCAGATTAGCCAGTCTCAGGAAGCAAAAGCAAGAGAGGAGCTTGGGAGCCCAGCGCTGCTGCTGAAGGCCTTGCTGAGATAGGTGGCTCTCTGCAGACTGGGCTTCACTTAAGGGCAAGTGCAAGCAGTTCCAGCTTAACAGAGACAAAACCCTTTCCAGAGAGGCTGCTTCCCTGGGCAGCAGCTTCTGCAAGGACACACCCTGGAGAAATCTGGTCTCTGAACAACCTTCTCGCAGGCCGCTTACCAGACCTTCCTGAGTAATTCTGCACCGCTCTGCTAGTTCTCACATGCTACGGTATGCTCCGGGGTCTAGCCTGTGTGACATGGGACGTTCTTGGATACGTGGCTGCTCAGCATTCTGATCGGAGTGGAAGTGGGACTCACGGAGAGCCAGGCATTGATGCCACCGGAATTTTCCTGAATGAGTTTAGATATCGGCTGTAAAAATCCCTGTGGTCAGATTAGCTGGTTCCATGCATACCATACTGAGAGCTAACACTGGACATCCCAGAGGCAGGTCGCCTTGTTTGGGTAGTTGATGGCCAGACTGATAGCAGCGATGTTCTGCAGAGCCTGTGGGGGGGGAGAGAGAGAGAGAGAGAGAGAGAGAAAGAGAGAGAGAGAGAGAGTGTGAGTGAGAGTGTGTCATTGCCAGTGTCAAGAACTGTTCCTTCCCTGGCTCGGTTCATTAAGTGCTGGCTGAACAAGACCCTCAGTTGAGCACTAGAGGGGGCAGGGACGAGGAAGACACGAACCCGACATGGTTCCCCGCACCAGGAGGACCAGAGTTTGGAGCAAGAAACAATAGCTGCTGAGACCACATGAGAACTTCAAACACAAGGTAGAAATCATCACTGCCCTAAGCAAGGGGCAGGTGCAGTGCCAGGGGCTCAGGGGACACTGCAGGGGACCGGAAAAGTTCTTAAGGGAAAGGGAACAGCACAAAGGTACAGAAGGGAAGAAACGAGCAGCCAGTGCTGGGGACCCAGGAAGCGATGTTGGGAGTTTTCAAGTTTAAAGGCAGTAGGAGTGGGGGGCTGGCCAGAAGAGGACACGGTGGCAGGCGGGGGGAAGGGGGGCACTGGTTCAGCAACGTGGATGGGCTACGGGGTGGTCAGAATGAGGGGGACTGGCCAGGAGACAGGCAGAGGCGAGAGGGGGAGCCCACAGGGATGTGCGCTGTAGAGCTTTCGATGCCACAACAGTCAAACCTCAAAACTTCAATGTGTGTCGTGCAACCAGAGGTGGTGGGGGCAGTGCTGGCAGGCATCTGCTGTGGGGGTGCGGTGGGGGAGTTTTTACTCTGCCTACTGTTCTCAGGCGAATTCACACAAGCTGTTCTCTAGCTGATGGGGAACCCCTGCTTCCAAGCAGGCATCTGACCCTTTCCTGCAGGAGGAGGGCTTCCTGGAGAAAACTTGGCAGGAACAATGTGATGTTCTGGCTGGGAGTCCCAGCTGGATGCCCACTCAAGTGTGTGACCCTGGGCATATCTCTGCTTTCTCAGAGCTTCAGGGGCCTCCTGTCCCCTTCGGGTTGGACCACATGCTCTATGACAGTCAAGGAGTCTGTGACCCTGAGGTTCTCAACATGGAGCCAGGGACCGGTGGGTCCCTGAGACCCTTTCAGGGGCTCTGCACAGTAAAACTACTTTCGCAGTGACACTAAGACACTACTGTGCCTTTTTCACTCTCACACTCTCGCAGTGTGCACGGGGCTCCCGGAGGCTAAGGTCTGACAGCATGACGGCGAACAGAGGCGGACGCGGGCTCCAGCTGTCCTCTGTTCGGGCGGACGCGGAGGTCTGCAGAAGGAGGCACGATGCCGCCGGTTCCACTAGACACGCTGCTATGTTAACATGGAATGGACTTGTTGTTTTTTAAAACACATTGATAAATAAATGTTTAAAAGTTTTGTCTTCATTTCCAATTTCAAATCTAGTTTAATTTCCTGTGGTAAATTTCAATGTGTACAATGCACAGAAACAAAAGCTTTTTGGGCCCCTCCATAGTCGAAAGTGTGAAGTGGTCCTGGGACTGAACAGCTGCCAGAAGAGGCGTTCTCCTGACAGGGAAGAAGTCACACCCCAAAATATCTGAAATCTGACTCTACGGAAACTTCAGGGACCAGCCAAATCATAAATTTAAGGCATTGGTTGTTTTCATTTAAAAGACAAATTCTTGCCAGTGTCTTCTGACCCCTCAGTTTAGTGTGAATGACACTGATAAATGGGGCCCACCTGCTCCCTCTGACACCAGAAGGGAGGGACTGAACTGGAATGGAGGTCCATGTAAACCCTGGGGTGGGGGTTCTGTACTCATGCCACAAGCACGGAGGGTCTTTGTCCTGGCCACAGTGATGGGGACGGCCCGGCACCAGCAGGCAGCCCCCAAGGGCCAGCTCCGAGGTGGGAGAGTACCTGTGATGCACAGCGGAGGAGGTGGTCATCCGTGGTTAAGGCCAGCAGGTAATCCTGCAGCAAGCCGAGCTCCTGTGGAGAGAGAGCGAGCAGGGTGCAGTTCTGACGGACCACCACCCAGGGGGTGCCCCCCCCAAACCACAGAAGCCTCAAGTGGGTAACGGGTGCTCGCTCTGCCAGTGCCTCAGGGCACCTCCTCACTCAAGAGCTGTGAAGGGGCTGGGCCCGGAGGAGCCCTTTCATCTCTCACATTCAGTAAGTCTATCGTGCTGAGGGGAGGAAAAGAGAAGAGAAAAGAACCCATCCATTTTATTTTCCAAAGCTCCCTATTGTCAAGGGCTGATCCAAGGCAGTTTCTCCCTTGGCTTCAGGCCTGCTACAATAAGCGGTCCAGGTGCTGCTTGGGCTGGAAGGCCTCAGGCCACAGGCGTCCTCCGCCTCCCTGTGCAGGACAGCCAAGACCTCGACCACACGCCCGCCAGGGCTGGGGATGGTGCTGCGCCCTGGCCCAGAGCCCGGGGGGCAAGAGGCAGGCCGGGCCCTCACCTGGGCGCGGTTCTCCGTGACGAAGAAGAGCTCGGTGAGGGCGCGGTGCAGGGGGAGGAGCACGCCGGGCTGTGTCACGTCTTCGTACAGGCTGTACTCCATGTGGGTGAAGAGCTGCCACAGGGGCTTTAACAGCGAAAGGTCACAGAGGTCACTGCGGGAGGAGGGCCGTGTCAGACAGATGGCAGGTGAGGGGAAACACAGCCGACTCTCCCGGCCCCACATCTAGTCAAGTCATTATGAGATGGTCCCACCCACCCTCCCCCTGGAAAAGAGCCAGAAATATTCCCCACCAGCAATAAGGAAGGGGCAGGGCCTGTGTTGAAACACAGGACTCCGAGGAAATGGGAGGCCGGAAGCACATCCACAGACATCGCCTGCCCATCTTTAAACATGGCTGCTGGAAAGAACTTCCAACGACAGTAAAAAAACTCAAGACAAATGTTAAGTGGAAAAAAATATAAGACTGTATATACGAAATGAAATTCAAAAAATTAAACTGCATACACAACAGTATGTGACCACATTAAAAACAACAGTAAATATATGACAAATATGACCAGTGGTTGTCCCTGTCAGTCTTCTGGATTTCCTACAACACTCACTGCTTTACTAATCACGGAAAAATAAGATTTAAAAGACAACCATTCCTGTGATCTCAGGCTCACGAAACACAAGGGACACACTCCAGGCCAGCACCCTCTCCCCGGGCGGACCCGCCAGGAGGGCCCTGCTGGGGGACTGCAGTGGTTTCTTCTTACTCAGAGGGAGGTTGTGCTTTAATTCCAGTTCAACATCCTTCAGAGGAAAAAAATTGTGAAATAAATAATATTCTTACATAATGTTATATGATCTTAAATTTTGCCTTTTTCTCTATAATTATGACTTTAAAAAGAATTCTGTACAAATGAGGTACAACATTGGAGCTAAGGACTTTCTTCCAGAGGAGTAAGTCTTCCCAATGGAAAGCAATGGGAAAACCCGTCTTGATTTAAAGAGGCAGCTAGGGCTGAGTTCTCAGGAAAGCACCAGCAGGGTGGAGTAAAACGCACCTGCATGGCTCACGCCTGTGGCAGCACTAAGGCCTGCCGTCCTTCCCCTGGGGCTGCCCCTCCTCTCTGCCCATCCTGTCTCAGGCCTTGGGACTGAGCGGGTGCAGGAGCATCCCTAACAGATGGCCAGCAAACTGCAAAAATGCATCCACAATGCAGCCAGGAAGGGCCCTCCACTGAGGACAGTGGAGATGTGCACACCTCACTCAGCCAGACAGTTCTCACGGGCAGCCACTCTCAGAAGCGTACTAAGTGAGCCCTGCGCTCAGTGGCTCAGTGGCCCCTGATGTCTGTAAGGGAGGACACAGCGGTAATGGCAGCCATGCCCAGATTTCCCTCTCTCCCTCCCCTCTGCCAGCCCGTAAGCAGACCAACTACAGGTGCTGTCACTTTCCCTGACTTGGAGAGTCCTTTATTTTTCAGATAACAGTTCCATATTACATGAGAAGACAACCTGTTACTTTGAATGTCATCTGACTAGCATTCTATGTGTCTTAAAACTGCTAGAAAGGGGGTACTGAACTCTGAACAGGTGGGGGTCTGAGCAAGGAGGGTAGGGACTAAATACATGAATGACATGTGTGGGCACAATCACTAAAACCTCCCCTCTGAGATGAGGAATAAGACAACTACACCCTCAATCCCCACTTCTATCCAACACTCTGTTGAAGGTCTGGCTGGCGCAAAAAGACAGAACTGTTTCTAAGGGTTGAGGAACAAACAACACTCATCACGTGTGGACAACATGACCGTGCGCCGAACAATCCACATACACACTCATGTAATCAATAGAACAAGGTCACTTGATATTGTGCGAGAGCAATACATGAAAGTTGGTTTTATATCCACAGAAACAATAACAAATAAAAATTTAAAATACCAATTATAATACCGTCAAAACATTAAATACCTAGGAATAAATCTAACAAAATGTTGTGTAAGTCCTCTACATGGAAAACCTTATAGCTAAAAACCCCACAAAACTATGGGGGCGGTGATTCACATTTGTAGTACCAGTACTCAGTAGGAAAACACAAAGCTTCAGATCGCCGCTTCTGTTTTTTTCTGTTTCTTAGTTTGTCCACTTTTCTACCTTGACAAGAACAGCTTTTTCTCAAATAATTAAACTTTTGAAATGTCGTACGTTTTTGAAGCAAAATTAAATTGCTACTTAGGTTTACTGACATTCTTCAAATTGGGATTTGAATTTTGTTTTGATCTTTCTTTATTAACAGAACACATGATTCTAAGTTTTCTTCCCATCAGTTCAAAATTGTTTAATTTCACAGCAAGATGTGCTTGAAGAGCCCACAGCCAAACCCTCTGTTAACACCTGGTCAGCTGGTCTCTCACGGTCCTTACTGCTACCACCATGTTCCCACAGTCCACGAAGTGGTTCTCAGCCGAAGACTGTTCAGCTTTCTACAGAAGACCCCTCCAGCACTGACCGCTTGTCCCTACCTAGATGAGGTCTCCAATGCTAGACCAACTCGATTATAGAATCTGTTGGCATTTTGGGCCCTATTTCTGTTCAATGCTTTGTAGCAGCTTCTTCATCCTTAAATACAACATAAGCATTAATATTTTTCTGATCAGGATGAATTTTACATTTTATGGCGGCCAACTTTTTGGACATAGTTGCCTCTGCTGGAATCACATAATGAAATCGTACAGATTCTATTGGTCCATACTCTTTACAAAATGACTTCGGCTTCTTCTTATTACATGTGACAGTCAAGTTCCCCACAAATACAGTTCTCTCATTCTTTAACTTTTCTTCTTCTTGATTGATTTGAATTTTCTTCCTTTGATTGACAGCTGGGTGATCTACTTCATCAAGTACCTTTTCATCTGCTACTTTAATACCAGACTGAGAAATTTTCCTATTTTGCCCTTCTTTCTGGTGAGTTTCTTCTTTGAAATCAGTACTTGCGAGAGCATTTTCTCTGTTGGCCAACTTTTTGTCTGCATCAGAAAGTTTCTTCTTTACTTTCACTTTCTTTGCAGGTTCGTGCACAAGTGGCCTTTCAGTCTGGGATGCACTTTCTTCCTCCTCATCCTGTTTCCTTTTCTGGGTGGTTCCATCAGGCACAGGCACATACACAGGCTGAAGCTGAGGCTGCTTGCCCGCAGTGGAAGAGTTCCACCAGCCAACCGGTGTCGCCTCCTGGGCAACGCCTGCTGTGGGCCAAACTGTTGGCCATCTGTCCCCCAGGCAGTCCATCTTCGGAAGACCACTGGTGCCACAATCCCAGGCTGGGCTTGGCCCGGAGACTCACGCCAGAGGCCCTGCACTCCTCTCCCCTGCACCTCTCCTCTCTTTTTCTCTTTGTCCTTCCCCCTAAGGGTCATTCTCAGCCCGAGGCCTCTGGGAGCCACAGCAAGAAAGTGAAAACTTTATAGTTTTATAACATTAATAACATAACATTACTAAGATCTAAACCATAGAGGATTGTCAATTAGAGGATTCAGTGTTCTAAAGGCCTTGTTTCCTCTCCAATTGATTTAGAGTGTCAATCAAAATTCCATTACGTGAGAAGGGTGTGTGAGCATGCATGCACGAAATAAAAAATAAACTAAGAAATAAACTAATCAGGAACAAGGCAAAGATGCCCATTCTTGCCAGTTCTATTTAACACAATACTGGAAGTCCTAGCCAACACAATTAGGCAAAAAAAAGGATATAAAGGCATTAAAGTTAGAAAAGAAGAAGAAAAACTGTTTCTGTTTGCAGATGATATATTATATATAGAAAATCCTCAAGATTCCACCAAAATTGTTAGAACTAATAAATTCAGTATAGTTACAAGATACAAAGACAATATGGAAAAATCAGTTGTGTTTCTATATACTAATGAACTATCAGAAAGATAAATTAATAAAACAATCTCATTTACAATAAGGTCAAAAAGATACTTAGTCAATAAAATACTTAGGAATAAATTTAACAAAGGAGGTGAAAGATCCGTATAGTGAAAACTACAAAACACTGGTGAAAGAAATTGAAGGCACAGATAAATGGAAAGATAATCTGTGTTCATGGACTAAAAGAGTATTGTTTAAATGTTCATACTACTCTGAGCAAAAGCTATAGATTCAAAATTTTAATAGCATTTTTCATAGAATAGAAAAAATAATTCTAAAATTCATACAGAACTACAAGAGAACCTGAATAGCCACAGAAATCTTAAGAAGAACAAAGTTAAAAGTATCACACATCCTGGTTTTAAACTCTATTACAAAGCTATAATAATAAAACAGTATTGTATCACTATAAAAATAGACATACAGATCAATGGAACAAAACAGACGGCCCAGAAATAAACCCATGCATATATGGTCAATTAATTCTCAACAAATGTGCCAAGAATATGCAATAAGGAAAGGAAAGTCTCTTCAATCAATGGTATTGGAAAAACCAGATCTCCACATACAAAAGAATGAAACTGGATCCCTATCTTACATGATACATAAAAATCAACTCAAAATGAATTAAAGTCTTGAACGTAAGACCTGAAACTATAAAACTTCTAGAAGAGAACATAGGGGTAAGCTCCTTGAAATTGGTCTTGTCAATGATTTTTGGAATTGTTACCAAAAGTAAAAATAAGCAAGTGGATCTACATCAAACTAAAAAGCTTGTTCACAGCAAAGGAAACCGCCAACAAAGTAGTACGGCAGCTTACTGAGTGGGAGAAAATAGCTGCAAACCACGTATGTGATAAGGAGTTAATATTCAAAATACAGGGTCTGGCACAAATAACATCCCCTTTTTATTACAAAATCTTTTATTACAAATCATACACATATAATTCTGTAATATAACAATATCACACTCAAGCACACCATATGACATCTTAGGTGAAATGTTCAAATTAAAACTATAAATTATTACACCCATAAAATTACCCTGCCACCACACTCAAGCAGGTCTCACTTTTGCTGAACCCTGTATATAAGAAACTCATACAACTCAATACCCGCCAAAAAAAACCCCACAAAAAATAATGCAACTTAAAAATGGGCAAAGTATCCTGGTGGCAGCACTGCTTTGTTGTGAGAATGTCCTCTTTTGAGACACCTGCCTAATAGAAGCTGATTCTACATTAGTAAAAAAAATTATTCTACTTGTCTTTGTCCTTTTTAAAGGTTTTTATTACAAAGACTCAAAGTAAAATAATGAGTTAAGCAATTTTAATTTCTGATCTTAGGCTCATTTTCTATTATATATTTTAAAATATATTTTATTGATTATGCCATTACAGTTGTCCTATTTTCTCCCTTCATTCCCCTCCACCCTGTATACCCCTCCCTCACCATTCCCCCCCTTTCATTTATGTCCGTGTGTCACGAGTTCTTTAGATTCTATATATCCCATACTATTCTTGCCCTCCCCCTGTCTATTTTCTACCTACAATCTATGCTACTTATTTTCTGTACCTTCTCCCCCCTTCTCCTCCTCCCACTCCCCTATTGCTAACCCTCCATGTGATCTCCATTGGTATGGTTCCGCTCCTGATCTAGCTGTCCTCTTAGTTTGCTTTTGTTTTAGGTGTGGTTGTTAGTAACTGTGAGTTTGCTGTCCTTTCACTGTTCATCTTTTTTATCTTCTTTTTCTTAGATAAGTCCCTTTAACATTTCATATAATAAGGGCTTGGTGATGATGAACTCCTTGAATTTGACCTTATCTGGGAAGCACTTTATCTGCCTTTCCATTCTAAATGAAAGCTTTGCTGGATAGAGCAATCTTGGATGTAGGTATTTGGATTTCATGACTTGGAATACCTCTTTCCAGCCCCTTCTTGCCTGAAAGGTCTCCTTTGAGAAATCAGCTGACAGTCTGATGGGAACTCCTTTGTAGGTAACTGTCCTTTTATCTCTTGCTGTTTCTAGAATTCTCTCCTTCATTACAATCTTGGCTAATGTAATGATGATGTGCCTTGGTGTGTTCCTCCTTGGGTCCAACTTCTTTGGGACTCTCTGAGCTTCCTGGATTTCCTGGAAGTCTATTGCCTTTGCCAGATTGGGGAAGTTCTCCTTTATTATTTGTTCAAATAAGTGTTCCACTGGTGGCTGTTCCTCTTCCCCTTCTGGTACCCCTATAATTCGGATGTTGGAATGTTTAAAGATGTCCTGGAGGTTCCTAAGCCCTTCTTCATTTTTTTGAAATCTTGTTTCTTTATTCTGTTCTGGTTGAATGTTTCCTTCTTCCTTCTGGTCCACTCGATTGATTTGAGTCCCAGTTTCCTTCCCATCACTATTGGTTTCCTGTGCATTTCCCTTCATTTCAATTAGTCTAGCCTTCATTTGTTCCTCTAATTTGTGACAAAAATCAACCAGTTCTGTGAGCATCCTGATCACCAGTGTTTTGAACTGTGCATCTGAAAGGTTGGCTATCTCTTAGTCGCTTAGAATTAGTGGTTCTAGGGCTTTGAGCTGTTGTTGAGCCACAGTGTTTTAGTCTGTTCTCACCTGCTATGTATGAGGGGCGGAGCCTTAGGTGTTCACCAGGGCGGGGCAACCCAGTTGCAGGGTTGTTATGCTGTATGTGTGGACAGGGTCAGAGAGGGGCAAGGGCATTTGTTCCACTCTCTCTCACATTTCTGTCCCCTCTGCCGCTTCCCACAAGCAAATTGGGCCCTTCTGGTGCTGGTTCCCGGGTGTGTGGGCTTGTGTACCCTCCAGGACCCTGTGGGTCTCTCCAACGAACTGTCCCAGCACCTCGACCCCAAAAGTCTTTCCAATTGGTGCTTTCAGGCTCTAATTCCTGTCACTGGGGTCCTAGCCTGAGCGCTCTGTTTCACTGCTCGCTCCTTTGCCTGGTTTATCTGCTCTGCGCTCGAATGTGTGACCGCAGTCAGCCAGCTGCCCTGCACCCTCACTGGGTCCGCCACTGCCACCCCACGCCTGGTATCCGCCAACCGTCGTTTGCCCTCCTGGATTGGTCCATTGATCTTTCCTGCCTGACCCCGCCCCTCTTACTGGTCTGGCTGAAAGGTTCATTGTTGGACTTCCGTACAGTTCAATTTTCTGTGTTTTGGCTGCGTTTTTGTTACTAAAACTTTGTTGTCTTTAAACTTGGTTGTGCGAGGGGCACAGTGTTTCCACCTACACCTCCATCTTGGCCGGAAGTCCTCATTTTCTATTATATTTTAAATGGATTCCACAATAGTTAACTCAAAAATACCTTACATGTGAATTAGGGAGTTTGAATGTTCATCATTGGGATGTTCTATATTAAGAGAACCTATGACCCCTGCTGCCTCTACGCCTGATGATATTCTTATGATGTAACATACAGACCTGGTGATCCTTCTGTTGGGTCTCAGTTCTGAGGCTCCGCTAGAAAAGGGATAACTGACTGTTCTAGAGAACTGGAAAGGTCAAAGGGAAGAAATCTGTGGCTAGCATTTGTTTAATAGGAAAAGCTCTGTGGAGACCAAAAGAAAGGGTAGAGGATCTGAAAGATGTTTTTCCAAAGAAGACATGCACATGGCAAACAGGTACATGAAAAGGTGCTCAACATTGCGAATCATCAGAGAGATATAAGTTAAAACTACAGTGAGACACCTCCTCAGGGTTATTATTAAAAAATTAAAAAGAGCTCGATAACAAATGCTGGTAAGGACGTGGAGGAAAGGGGAACCTTGTACACTGTGGAGTGACAGGTATGTTAACTTGATGGTGGTAATCCTTTCATAATGTATACATACATCAAATGATTGTGTTCTACACTTGAAATATATTGTAATTGTATTTGTAGGTTATACCTCAATAAATCTAGAAAAAAAGAAATAAACTAATTCTAAAATTTATATGGACATGTAGGGTTAAAAATAGTCAAGACCACTGAAGAAAGAAATTGAGGAAGATACAAATAAATGGAAGCATTTATTTGTAAATGCTCCCTGTTCAAAGACTGGAAGAATTAACATCATTAAAATGTCCATACTACCCAAAGCAATCTATAGATTCAACGCAATTCCTATTAAAATATCAATGGCACATTTCACAGATCTAGAACAAATACTTCAAAAACTTATATGGAATCAAAAAGATCCCGAATAGCCACAGAAATCTTGAGAAAGAACAAAATTAGAGGGATCACAATAACTGACATCAAACTATATTTCAAGGCCGCTGTACTCAAAACAGTCTGGTACTGGCATAAAAACAGACACATAGATCAATGGAACATAATAGAGAGCCTAGAAATAAACCCAAGTCTCTACAGTCAATTATTATTTGACAAATGGGGAAAAAGCATAAAATGGTATAAAAATAGCCTCTTCAACAAACAGTGTTGGGACATCTGCACAGCCACATGCAAAAAATGAAATTTGACCACCAACTTATACCATACACCAGAAATAAAGAAAAAAATAAACAAATGGGACTACATCCAATTGAAAAGCTTCTGCATGGCTAAAGAAACCACCATCAAAATGAAAAGGGAACCAACTGTATGGGAGAATATATTTGCCAATGATACATCAGATAAGGGCTTAATCTCCATAATATATAAAGAACTCACACAACTTAACACTAGGAAGACAAACAACCCACTTGAAAAATAGGCAGAGGACCTGAACAGACACTTTTCTAAGGACATACAGATGGCCCCTAGGCGTATAAAAAATGATCAACATCACTAGCCATCAGAGAGACGTAAATTAAAACCACAATGAGATACTATCTCACACTTGTCAGAATGGCCATCATAAACAAATGAACAAACAAGTGTTAGAGAGGACGTGGAGAAAAGGGAACCCTAGTGCACTGCTGGTGGGAATGCAGACTGGTGCAGCCACTGTGGAAAACTGTATGGAATTTCCCAAAAA